CTCCCCACACTGTAACCCTTCTCTCCCTGCCCCTCTCCCCACACTGTAACCCCTTCTCTCCCTGCCCCTCTCCCCACACTGTACCCCCTTTTCTCCCTGCCCCTCTCCTCACACTGTACCCCCTCCCTGCCCCCCTCCCCACACTGTAACCCCTTCTGTCTCTGCCCACACTGTAACCCCTTCTGGCCCTGCCCCCCACTGTAACCCCTTCACTCCCTCCCACCACTGTAACCCCTTCTCTCCCTGCTCTACTGTATAATTTAATTACGCTGAAAGGACTAATATTTTGAATTACAAAAAAATATATACCAATAATATATATATATACATTTTTTTGAAGGTATATTATTTTATATTTATAAAATAATAAATTTATTAAAACACACACATGCTACATAGCACAATGACTTATGGGGCTGGCATAGATTGTGATATTATATAGGTAGATAGCTTCTGCACCTTTTCTTTTTGAGCTTGGGGAATTTACCCTCTGAACTTGAAGGAGTTGATTTGTAGAGCAATGTGTTTATTCCTATTTTTATCTTTTCCTTGTTTCAGTTCACTATCAAATAGGCTTACATGGGCATCTGCATAGGGAGCACTTGCTTCTCCTCCCCCCCCCTGGATTTTTATACTTTCTTTTTAAAAAAGGCGAACTGAGCTGGCTCTCTAATTAAGGTGAGATAAGCGGCCTTGTGGCCTGCCTAGCTCACCTAAGGGCAGAATAACATGTCGGGCTCTCGGTCTACGACCGAGAACCGGACACCAGGAGGGGCCCCAGCGGCTTGCCCTGTATGCCACTGGGTGCGTGTCCCCTCCACTCACTCTTCCCATGTGAAGTGAGCACTGCGCCTCCAGTCTGCAACTCCGCCAGTGGTGCAGAGCTGCAGACTGAAGTTAGTGTCTCGCAATCTCAGCCAATCACAGAGTTGCCGCGGGTTACAACGCTCTGACATTTCCAAAGCTTGCGAGACACCTTTCCTGTGGTCTGCAGCTCTGCACCTGGCGGAGCTGCAGACCAGATAGCTATGCCACCGGACCACCAGAGAAGTTAGTGCTGGAAAAAAAAGGAACACTGTCCCCCTCCACAAAGCCCCCTCTCCATATACTGCCCCCTCTACAGTGTCATCCCTCCACACGCTGCCCCCTCACAGTGTCACCCCTCCACACTGCCACCTCTCCACACTGCCCCCTACACTGCTCCCTCTCCAAAGAGCCCCCCCTCCACACACTACCTCCACACACTACCCCCACACTCCACACACTGCTCCCTCTCCACACACTGCCCCCTGACACTGCTCACTCTCCACAGAACCCCTTCTCCACACTGATCCCTCTCCACACACTGCCCCTCTGCACACTGCTCACTCTCCACAGAACCCCTTCTCCACACTGATCCCTCTCCACACACTGCCCCCCTGCACACTGCACCCTCTCCACATACTGCCCCCCCACATTGTCACTCATCCACACACTGCCCCCTCTCCACACAGCCCCCTCAAACTGCCCCCCTGCACACACTGCCCTCCTTTTTAAACATTGCCCCCTCTCCACGCACTGCCCCCCCAAACGGTCACCCTCCCACACAATTATGACCCCCCCTGGAAATATTTCTACGGACGCCCATGTAGGCTTAGTATCAGAATGGCTGTGAATGATAGGTGTAATCTTACTGAGTCCTCTTCTTAATTATACTTCCCCTGTTTTCAGGTTATACCTCCCTTGTTTTAGTTCTATTTGGTAGCAATTATGTTTATCGGTGCACTGTAGCCTGTAGGCAAGGTTGATTAAAGGCTGGATTATACACCTAAATTTCTCCTTATACTGGTTTGATACATTGTTTCACACTGTTTTGTGTCAATTTTGTACCTATTCCTCTTGTACATCTATACTGATCTAGTGTAAAATATGTTTTAGTGTGGTCTTTTTCTCTTCCAAATTGGGAATCTTTTCCAGGGGATTGCCCTCCTGTTTGCTGGTTAATTTTATTAGGGTTCATGCCCAGAAAAGCCTGGTACTATCCAAACTGACATTTGGCCATATCTGGTCCTTTTGATGTCATGGTTATTTTCGTCTTTTGTTTTTTTTCACAGTAGTAGCATACATGAGGTTTATGAAATACACATTACAAAAAACCTTGTTCTATATGTAATAAAAATAAGACTTATTATATACTGTGTAAATCAGGACAAATAAATTAATTTATTTAGAATTACTTTTTGTAAGCTGCAGTAAATATGCACACATTATAATTGCCACACCTGTGAAGAAAAAACATTTATTTTATTTGTGTTTTTGTGTAATTTTTGTATTAGAAATAAGAAGTTCTATATGTGTATGTCACATCAAATGAAAGCCCCCTCTGTACGTGAAGAGAAACCATTAAATTACGGTGAAACAAACCTATAGCTCTAATTCAGAACGTGGACAATTACCGCAGGCCTAAAGAAGGGGTATTGAGAGGTCGCTACTGTACCTTATTATTGAGATATACATATCCAAACAGTATTATGCTATGATCTTTTTTCTTTTTCATATGCTTCTTCAATATTTAATATCTACCTGGTATTTTTGATCTACAATTGCATCTGTACTCTTCTTCTGGCTCATATATGGGATTTGTTTTAGATATTAGGAAATTGTTTTTTAAGCCTGAGGAATTCCTATCCTTGTAGCTGCTGCCTTTTATGTACTATTTTACACAGTAATTATATCACCCTGTGTAGTGCTAAGTAATCAGAATGTAATATCTAGTATAGTGAGCAGCCCTGTTAAAGATTGACATGTTTTATTGTTTAACAGCAGCCCTACCCTCTTACTATAACCATTTACTAGAGATGGATATACAATCACATGGGCCTGTGGAAGCATCCCCTCCCAGTATAATAGAGCCTTTCTACCAAGCTGACTGTAGGGCAGTGACGACTCTGCCCACAGGCTGACACTTGTCTCTCGTTCCCGCCCAGTCATGCTGCCTCCCCCCTCCTCCCTCAGCCTCCAGAGCCGCTCCCCTGTCCAGCTCGCTGACGTCACCTCCTGGTTGCCATGGTGAAACTGAGGTCACCATCTCCCTCCCCCCCTCCTTCTCCTCATCCTTTCCCTTGGAGGGAAGCCATTAGGTCCCACTTCTAACAGGCTGAGGAGGTGGGCGGGGCTTGAGGGAAGCGGAAGTGGCGGCTAGAACGGAAGTCGAACGGCGCAGTGAATCCGCAGGAGAGGGGGCAGTGAGGAAGCAGAGCTTGCCCGAATCTTTAATCTCAAGAGTCATCGTCGGATCGCGGCTATTTCAGGTGAGGATGGCCGGCCCGGCACGTCGGACAGTAGAGAAGGACAGCGAGGCCGGTGTGGGCGGGCGGTGTGCTGTTAGACAGTCCATGGCCGCTCGGCTGCAAGGCCACCTGGGGCTTGTGCTTGGCAAGGGCGGGGATCCCAGCCGTGCGGCCTCGGCTCCAAACCTTTAGCATAGGATCCCACGCCCGTCTTAACGGCGATCTATCTACCTGACATCGTGCGATGGATCCTCAACCACCGAGCCCAACCCCCTCCCCCATATCTCTCCAGCATTACAGGCCTCAAATGTCCTCCGTGCAGGGCGACAGAGACCGTGTTATAATCACATCGCCATCCAGCTATACTGCCGTCATCGAGCAGATTATAATCAGCACCAGAGCCCTGAGAGCGACATGCCAGTGTAATGGCCGGCTCCATGGCTTATTGCACTGCAGCTATGGCGGACTAGGTTTTCTCAGATAAGAAGCTGTTAACCTTGGCACCTGTAGGTGTTTCAGAACTACATTTCCCATGGTGCATCACGAGCCTCGGTACCATCCACGGTGATGGTGTTCGCCGTCACTGCCCTAAATGCATGGCTGGAGAGCTTTTATGTAGGTCGATTACTGCCCCATTTCACGTTTAATTCGTATTATTGTGCTGATGAATGGAGGAGTGGGGCTTGGATTGGGCTTGTGTGAGGTTAAGCTGCATGTGCATCACCTTGTATCCTCGGTATGTGTCCTGATGCTGCTTAGAGAAACCCAGATTCCGATCACACTGCATTTAATCCGCATTATGATGTATAGGAACTGTAACAGGCCTTGCCACACAGCAGAGCACCTCTCTATTCAGGCTCCCATCTATTAATATGAATATTTCATGAAGACAATGAAGAGGGTGCCTTTTTGCTTTTTTTTTTTTTTTAAACAGTCCTGCTGCACACATTTGTGTTGAGATCATGTGTTACATAAACCTTGAAAAATGTGCTAAAGCAAATTGAGCTTATTTCAGAATGGTGACATGTCACACAGTGATAAGCAACGTTTTAATTATGGAAGGGTTGAGAAGCAAAATGACAAAACAGAAAATTCAATCACTTTTTTTTTTTATTTTGGCCAGAGCTGCTTGACACAATTTAATATAGTTGGAACCTATTGACTTACTATCAAATCTATCGGTCAACATTAACAACCTTTTATTAGTTTCTAAATTGTAGGTTATTTTTTGTGAAATAAATAACTTGAGAGTATAATTGGCATATGGATGCTCTTCTGGTAAACAAACAAATATGCAGATCTGATATTGAAAATTGTGGCTTGTCCAGTAATTTGGCCTGCATGTCAAACTAGCATACTCCTAAAGGAACCCTATCCCCTTAAGGCGCTATAGGGTCAAAAATACAAATGTGTATTCTTGACACTATAGTGTAAAAAGCACCCCCGCCCCTCTCATTAAATAGAAAATGTACCTTAAAGCGCTATGCGGGTCTCTGAAATTGCAGCAGAAGGCCTGCAGGGATTGACTATACTCATCAGAGCAAACAAATAAAGCTTTAGTTGTATGTGTCCCTTTTAATACTTATTTTCAGCAGTTTTATGTAATTTATTTAACAAATTTCCCCAAATTCAAACCTCGAAATTGACATAGTTACATAGGCTGAAAAGAGACATGTGCCCATCAAGTTTAGCCTTCCTCACATTTAGTTTTTTGCTGTTGATCCAAAAGAAGGCAAAATAAAACCAGTTTACATCACTTCGAATTTTGCAACGAACTAGGAACGGCAGTCAGATTAATCCTGTGATCTATATGCCTAATAACAGAAATGTAAACTTCTGTTTTAATATAAAGCTTTAAAGGCACACTGTAGTCACCAGAACAACTACCCCTTATTGTATTTGTTCTGGTGAGTATAATCAGTCCCTTCAGGCTTTTTGCAATAAAGTCTCCTTAAAAAAAAAAAAAAAAAAGTTTTTATATTGAAGCCTAGGGATACCTTCAGTGGCTGCTCCTCATATGGCTACTAGAGGTGCTTCCTGGGGCAGTTCTGTGACATTCAGTGTCTCCACCCTCAGCATAGAGAAACTGAACCTTCCTCATAGAGGTGCATTGATTCAATTCATCACTATGAGGAGATGCTAATTGGCCAGAGCGGTGTTTGGCCTGTGTCTGCCTCCTTGGCAATCTCAGCCAATCCAAATTTGAAAGCATTGTGATTGGCTCAGCTCATGACTTCTGATGTCAGCTAAGGAGGCAGATCAGAGGCAGAGCCAACAGTAGCAGATTGGACTAAATGTAAGCTTTTACTATATTTAGGGGGGCTAGATGATGTTTTAAACACTATATAGGGTCAGTAATACATGTTTGTGTTTTTTTTAGTCTTAAAAAATAGTTTCTTTTTAAGTGATTGATCTTAGACATGAACACTGCTAACTAGTCCTTCCAACATTATTTACAAAGTGATATCACATTCCTTTTGTATGGATCTTGAACTGAAGTATGGAGGTAGTATCCCACAATTTTGAATTGGGTTTTATATATAATTATGCAAAATAAAGGAGAAAATACATGCCTTTAAAGTAATTGGCCAGGTAAGTGCAGCAGCAGGCAGAATCTTCAAGACCAGGAAATTATTCCACAAGTTGAGAGCCCTATAACTACATTGAGATAGATATAGAGATATATTTTTCCCTCTTCTCTTTCAAAAATGAATACTTTGATGCAGTGATAGGAAAAAGAATGCAAGATAATTGCAATCAGAGTAATAAAGTTTCAAGCACTCCATGTATTCTTGATCGAATCTTAGATTGTCAACCACCTCCTATTCTGGTCTGTGATTTTTAGCAATGGTTTATAGTATAGGTTGCAGCTAATGAATAACATGGTTGTATACTAAGACTATCAGTTTGATAACCTTGTTCAGTTTAGTAATGCAGTCTGTGCACTCAACATTCTCTCAACCTCTCAAGTGTGCCTCCTCTGTTTGTGTGTAAGGGACTCGCACAATATCCTCCTTTAATGCGAATCTGTCCTGTCATGATCCAATGAGTTCTGTCTGCTATTCTGTTTTTCCTAGTTTAATGTGAAATGGAGAGGGTTTTTTGTTTTGTCTTCTTTTGGATCAGCAGCAAAAACAGATGTGAGAGGCTGAACTTGATGGAAGCATGTTTCTTTTCAGCCTATGTAACATCCCCTATTTTATTTTTTATACCTAAGGAAAAATAGTCCCAACTTTTCCTTATGTAGTATGTGAATGTTGGAGTTTTAGTGAAGCTCAACTGCATTTGGCTTCTTCCTGCATTGCCAATTTCAGGAGTGGCTGGCCACTGGCAGTGTGTGTTAACTCTTATGCAATCATGAGCCTACACAGGTCCGTTGGTGGCCTTTGGCACACGCCCAAAGAAAAGCAGAGTGTAGAATTTCTGGTGCTGCCATTTTGGGAACACAGACGGCGGCACCGAGAGAGAAGACCTGGTGGGACCAGTCCCAGGGCCTGAGTTGGTTGGGGTGGCTATAGGGAGGCTGTGAACTAGAATTATGACAGAACGCTTTAATGTTAGATGGGAAAAAGGGCAGCCCTTTACAAAACTATACAGTTGTAAGCAACTGTGTTCATAGACTCCACCATAGAGGAGAGGGCAGCTCTCCTTTGTTTTTAGTGGTCCGACATTCACTACCACAAATGCAGCAATCAATAAGGAGACTTATAAGAGCATTTCATTAAGCAGTGTAAATCTGAATGCGGTCCTATGTCAAAGCAATTTACTGCAGTAAAGGATTAAATAAAGACCCTCAACAAAGCTGAGCTTTTAGTGACTATTAACCTCTTAGAGCCATTGAGGACATGGCTCTAACCGCTGGCCGACGGCATAGTACGTTCCAGAGGACTTACATGCTCGCTGGCGATTGTGACGGGGGGACTTACCTGGCGAGAACCTCACGATCACATGGACCGAATAGCCGTCCATAGCAGTGCAATTAGGGGGAGTGCCTGGAATGACAGACAGTCACCCTGCTGTCTGAAATAAAGTTAATATAAAGTTTTAAAATTATTTTAAACACACAGTCTAAATGTATTTTAATGTTAATTTATATATATTAATATCAAAATACAGGTAGAATGATATTAAATATATAAATACGTAATTTCTAAAAATAATAAAAATATGTGTAATTTTGTTATAACTATATTTTGATAGATATATATATCTATTTTTTTTTTTTTTTTTAATGTAATATTTGTACATAATTAAGTCATTTTATTAATTACAATTTGCGGGACCTGCCTGATGACCCAGGCAGAAAGTCCAGAGAATTTAAATTGCTAGCACTCTATTTAACCCTGTAACTTTCCAAGACACCATAAAACATATACACGGGGGGATACTGTTTTACTCTGTAGACTTCGCTGAGCATAAATAAATGTGTATTTTATTGCAGTAAAAGCAAACAGTATTATGACATTAACAGTTAAAATGTCACGTACAACTAAAAAAAAATAAAAAATACTTATTTTCTCCCATTTAAAAAAATATTTTATTCATATTAAAGTTTCATACCTTAATATTTGATGTTAAATGAAAGCCCTGTTTCCCCTGAATAAAATGATATATGATCAGTATGGGTGCACATAATATGAAAGAGGTGAATTACTCCTGAATAGTCAAATTCAAGGTTTTGTTTACGTTTTTGTTTTGATCACAACATGTACATTTGGCTCAGTCCTTAACCCCTTAAGGACGCAGCTTCAAAAACTGGACTTATCCGTAAGGACATACCGTATATACGTGAGTATAAGAGGAGTTTTTCGGCACATTTTTTTTGTGTGCTAAAAAACACCCACTCGTCTTATACTAGAGTCAATGTCTGTATTATGGCAACTTACATTGCCATAATACAGACCAGGACCGCCAGGCTCATTACAAGCTCGGCGGTCCTGTTGGGGGCTGGCAGCGAGCGACTACTTACCTTTCCTGTCAGCTCCCTTCTCCTGTGCGCCGGTCAGCTCCCCACTGTAAGTCTCGCAGGAGCCGCGGCATCAGAGCGTTTCCACGGGTTACCGTGGCAACGCTCCGCGCAGCACGCCGGCCGCGAGACTTACAGTGGGGAGCTGAGCTGACTGGAGCTGCAGGAAAGGTAAGTAACAGCTCGCTGCCAGCCCCCCTCCTGCACAGTACACACCACTGGACCACCAGAGAATAATATAGCCCCCCTCCCTGGCCAGCTAACAAGCAGGGAAGGGGGGGGGGAATAAAATAAACATTTTAATAATATTAAAATAACATAATGTAATAATATTAAAAATAAAATTTAATATTATAATAATAAAAAAATGCTCACCCCCCCCACCAAGGTTACACACTCTGCATCACATACACACATTGTAAATAAATATTCAATTAATATAATTTTTGGGGGGATCTAATTTTATTTAGAAATTAACCAGTAGCTGCTGCATTTCCCACCCTAGTCTTATACTCGAGTTAATAATTTTTCCCAGTTTTTTGGGGTAAAATTAGGGGCCTCGACTTTTATTCGGGTCGACTTATACTCTAGTAAATACGGTAAATATTTTTTGCATGTTTTTGCTTTTTGTGTTCAAACGCAATTTGCACCAACACATTTATATACGGTTTTTTGTTTTTTTTAAAAGAGGGCAAAATGGGCTTTAACCCCTTAAGGACTGAGCCAAAAGTACACGTGATCAAAACAAAAACTTGAATTTGTGCTATGTCTGTTCAGGCGTAATTCGCTTCTTTCGTATTATGTGCACCCACACTTATATACCATTTTATTCAGGGGAAACAGGGCTTTCATTTAACATCAAATATTTAGGTATGAAACCTAATTTAATATGAATAAAATGGGGGGGAAAATAAGAATTTCTTTTAAAAAAAATGTAGTTCTACGTGACATTCTGTGAGTGTCCTAATACTGTTTGCTTTTTCTGCAATAAAACACATTTTTATTAAGCGATGTCTCACGTGTAAAACAGTTTACCCTATGTACAGGTTTTATGGTGTTTTGGGAAGTTACAGGGTCAAATATAGCATGTTCCATTTTAAGTTTTTTCACATTGAAATTCGCCAGATTGGTTACGTTGCCTTTGAGACCGTATGGTAGCCCAGGAATAAGAATTACCCCCATGATGGCATACCATTTGCAAAAGTAGACAACACAATGTATTGGGGATGTCCAGTCTTTTTTAGTAGCCACTTGGTCACAAACACTGGCCAAAGTTAGTGTTAATATTTGTTTGTGTATGAAAAATGCAAAAAACTAATTTGATCGCCAGTGTTTGTGACTAAGTGGCCCGGGGAGGCCAAAGAGGACGGAGGGGGACTCCATGGGCTCCGTGTGATCGCCGGCGACCGGGTAAGTAGAAAGGACCGTTAGGGCGTTCTATGCCGCCCTCTGGCATTTAATGCCGGTTCCCTAAGGACGGCATAGAACGCCCGCCGTCCTTAAGGGGTTAATTTGATGTGACACATACATAGATAAATTCTCATTGTAAAAAAAAGAAACTTTTTTTTTTCACAGTTTTGGCATAAATTGCTTGTGCATAATATGTCCAGCTTAGAAAAAGTAATTCAAAATAAATTAATTTATAGAGTACATAATATGTATAGGATTCCAGCTTATTTTGAAAGTTACAGGTCACAAAATAAAATGAGATTTCAGTTTGTAAAAATTTTAGAAGTTGGCATGTTTGTCTTATAGGTTTAGTAGCCATCACAGAAAACAAAATTGCCATACAAAAGTATATATTTATATAAAGACATCACATGCTATTTACCTAAGGTTATTTTGACACTTTTTACGAGGCCATTTTATTGCCAATCTCTGCTAAATGTTAGTAAAATTGTGTTTTATTCTCTATTTTGACATATACACATATAACAAGGTTTTTGTAAAGCTGGTGTGTGCTATTCCTGCACAGAACCCCATATGGTGTTCAGCTACATCTGCTGAGTATAACGATACCCCCATTGTATGCCTTTTGGCACTATTCTGTGATGCTACAGTGCCATGTAAGAGACAAGGCTATTTCAATTTCTATAGTTAGAATTTTGATAGATGGATTTGACGAGCCTATGTCTTATTTTGGGGTATTTATATCAGTGTGAGTATTCAAGTAACTCCACAAAGAGCTTCCCGTTGATAAAGCAGACACCCAGGGGTATATAATATGGCGTGTTTTGTGCCTTATCATGTCACCATTTTTTCACCAATTTATGTCTATTTGTGGAGAGAGGGGAGGGGGAAAGCATTTGTACATACATGTTGCATTTTTGCTGAGTATTTCTTACACATTATATTGTACCATTGTCATAAAATCCCCTAAATTATGCTCAGTTACATCTTCTTCTGAGTAAAACAATATGCCCAATGTATGACCTAGACACTATTTTGAGAAGTTACAGTGCTGTAAAAGAGACGTGACAAGTTCAGGTTTTAAATGTGAATTTTCATGGATGGTTTTGATGCTTCCTTGTCCCACTTTGGAGCACTAGAGCAGGCTACATATTCCAGCTACACTATAAAGGCATACCATTTCTTAAAGCGGACATCCCAGGGTGTTTCAAAAGACCTATTTTGAACCTCAGCGTAGGATCATTTTTCCCCTAGCTTGTACCAAGTGTAGTGGTTCTAAGCATTTTTTTTCTGCCTTTTTGATACACAGTGAGTTTGCTTAATATATTCTGCAAACCTTTTGTGCTACGATTGTATAATACTTATGTTGCTCAGCTATGCCGCCAGAGTACAGCAATATCCCGTATGTACCTTTACCAGGTATATGTGGATATTGAAGGGGCACATTTTGAGCCCCAGCCATTCAGTTGGTTTTTTTTTCTAACTCTGAAGTTTTACGTTGTGTCCATGTTTCATTTCGGAGTAGTTTAGCTGGTTGGTTATTCATACTACCCTATAAACGCATTCTATTTATTAAAGAGCACACCCCGGGTATTTCAAAAGGCATATTTTGAACCTTGGGGTATCATTTTTTTGCTAGTATGTTTCAGGTGTAGTGGTAATGAGCATTTTTATTTATTTATTTTACTTGTTTTTAAACTTTATTTACTTATTAAATTTTTTTTACTTTTTAAAACTTTCTTGAAATGTCTTTTACACTTTAAAAATTTTTATTAACCTTTTTTTTTAACTGTTAACCACTAACTAGCCATAAGTAGCACTAACCATAAATTTCCCAATTTCCTTTAACTCCCACCCACCCCAGCTAGCAAAATATATCATTTTAAATTAATTTAACCCTTGAGGGTTAAAAAAAATAATAATCAGATCACAATAAAATGTAGTCCCTGCCAATTGATCACTGTAGTCTGTGATCAATTGGCAGGGAAGGAATAAATTTTATTAGAGCAGGGGAAAGAGGGGGTGGGATTTAACTTTAATTTATTTTTTTACACGGTGAAAAGGATCATCACTGATCCGTCTCCCTGCACTTCACACTAAATGCGCAAGAGCAGGGAGGCGGTTCAGAAGTCCCTGCAGCCTGTCAAAACAGGCACAGCTGCAGGGACTGTGCGAATCCCGAGGCAGACCGGAGGAGCGTTAACTCCGCGATTGCGGTGGTCTGGGGTTAATTTTAGCGCATGATGGACCCAGTCATCATGAGTCCTTAAGGGGTTAATCGTTTTGGATGTATTCATGCCCCTGCAGTCTCACTGCTCAATTCTTATTACTTTGTTTAGCGATCCCTAGTTACACCTCGATGCATGTACTGGTACAGCCTTCCTAAACACTTCTTGTAAAGAGAGATCTAATGTTTAGGCTTCCTTTATTGCACATTTTGTTTATCTCCTGCTCTGTTAACCGCCTTTTGGATCCTGCATGATCCCCCTGTGTGTGATTAAAGTTCTATTTACAGAGCAGAAGATAAAAACTTCAAAAGAAAGTTCATATCGGAATGAAAATTATATTTTTTTTCATGGGGTCACAGCCAGGGAAGGTCTGACTAGGGCTGCATAAGCAGATACAAAAGTTATTTAATTACGTAGTAGCAGGAAACTGAAAGTGCAGGGACATGATCTATACACTTAAACTGCTTCATTGAGCTAAAGTTATTTCAGTGCATATAATGTCCATTTTAACTTATGTCCCCTCTAATACAGCAACTGGTATATCTGCAGGTTTGTGAGCATTAAACTATTGTAATACCCGCTCAGTCAATGTTTAAATTTCGAGAAGCATACCTCCTGCATGACGCACACACCGGTGTCCCTGCCAGCATATCGACATCTGAACAGAGTGACATCAAACTCAGTTCCTATACTCCCTAAGCAACGTTGGAAGAGTTGGGGAGTAACCATAACAACAAATGATGTGGTTGTGATGCATGGAGAGAAGCAGGACTTGCCTCTAGGAGGTCTCTCTTGTTCTTGTCTGTCAATTTTTGGCATAGAGGAGTCTGAGAAATTGACAGGTTGTGAGAGATTACATTTTGAGCACTATATGTTGGCTTGCAAAGCAGGACCATACGTACATATATATAGTGTGTGTATATATATATATACACATGCTATAGTGTTGGTGGCATTTGAGTGAGACAGAGGCAAGTTCAAGCACTGCCCACTTCAAACGTCACATCCATTTTTATTTTTTAATCACGTTCATGCCATTCCTCTGTGTTTTTACAATGATAAAGATCTTTATTTGTAAATTAAACAGACATCTGAACCGTACCCTGATTGTTATATATCTTGTGTTTCTTAGTAGCTACTTGCGAAATATATCCCACAAGCTACACTTCTCTTTGTGTACAAGATCTTGTATTGGGTGTAATGCTTGTATTTAAATGCATTTCATACACCATGATTACTTATTATCTTTCAGATTTCACTATGGACAAGGCTGAATTAATTCAGAAGGCCAAACTGTCAGAACAGGCTGAGCGTTATGATGATATGGCTGCCGCAATGAAGGCCGTGACAGAGCAAGGAGGAGAACTAAGTAACGAAGAAAGGAACCTGCTCTCTGTCGCCTACAAAAATGTGGTTGGTGCCCGCCGCTCTTCCTGGCGTGTGATTTCTAGTATTGAACAAAAAACAGAGGGCAATGAGAAGAAGCAACAGATGGCAAAAGAATACCGTGAAAAAATCGAGGCAGAGCTGTATGATATCTGCATGGATGTTCTGGTAATATATATTTATTTTGTAACTTTTTTACCCAGCGTAGAGTGCTCAGTAATTGGAGGGTTACTAAATTGGTTCCATTCGGTTAGGGAATCTCTGAACCAGGGGCAAAAATTGTAAACCTGTCTTTATATTTTAATGGGATTTTACAAATAATTTTTTCTCTTTTTTCGTGTGTGCTTTTGAAGTCAAAGCTGTTCTGGTACTCACAGCTCTTTAAAGGTCTAAATAAAGTGTTTTTAGCACCAAGACAGCAACTTTTTAGTCCTCAAAAAGAGGGACTTTTCCAAAAGAAACAAACCACATTGAAATTCCTAAAGTGAAGGTGTACAGAGCAAGTGTCAAACATGATTCAAATAAATAAAAATGGAAGTTTACCTAGTTTCCACCATCATGGAGCAAATGTTGCAACCATGATGGGTACCATGTATATTTTATACATAGAATCCAGTGCTGTGTGGCAACCAGATGAAAAAGAAACAAAATGTTGAAATTAAGTTACATGTTGAATTTTTATTCTTGAATTCTTAGCGTTAGCCAATGCTGTGTTCCAACAAAATTGTGTTGAATACTGCTCACTAATAAAATCTTGTTTTTTTTTGTTTTTTTTTTTTAAAGTACTGTTGCTGGACTAAAACCAGGTATCTCTACTGTACATGGCATTGAAGGCTATCGAGCCAAGAGGCTCCTGCATAGTGCATAAGAGCACAGGGACAATTTAAATATCTATTACCGTATATACTCGAGTATAAGTCGAGTTTTTCAGCACATTTTTTGTGCTGAAAAACCCCCACTCGACTTATACTCGAGTTAATGTCTGTATTATGGCAATTTACATTGCCATAATACAGACCAGGACCGCCGGGCTCATTACAAGCCCGGCGGTCCTGTTGGGGGCTGACAGTGAGCGGTTACTTACCTTCCTGCAGCTCCTGTCAGCTCCCTTCTCCTCCGTGCAGCTCCTCTGACAGCTCCCACTGGAAGTCTCGCGAGAGCACCCCTCCCTGGCAAGCTAACAAGCAGGGAGGGGGGACAAAAATTAAATTAAATAATAAGCTTAAAATATTAAAATAAAATAAAAAACTTAAAATACTAAAAATATTAAAATAAAAAACTTAAAATATTAAAATTAAAAATGTATAATAAAAATGCCCTCCTCCCACCCAGTTCTCACACACACACACACACACACACACTCACACACACACACACTCACACACACACTCACTCCTACAAACACATACTCTGCATTAAATACAAACACACTCATACAAACAATCTGCATTCTACACACACACTCTGCATTATATACATGCAGAGTGTGTGTGTTTATATGAGTGTGTGTGTTTATATGAGTGTGTGTGTTTATATGAGTGTGTGTGTTTATGAGTGTGTGTGTTTATATGAGTGTGCGTGTTTATATGAGTGTGTGTGTTTATATGAGTGTGCGTGTTTATATGAGTGTGCGTGTTTATATGAGTGTGCGTGTGTATATAATTCTAAAAATCACAGAATGTCATAGCCCCAAGTTTTACCCTCGACTTATCCACGAGGCATAGCATATTTCACAATTGTTGGTCACAAAACTGCCCTCGACTTATACATGAGATCGACTTATACACGAGTATATACGGTAAATCCCATCAAATTAAAGAACTGTGGAGGAAAGTGGGACTTAAAGTGACACTAGTCACCAGTACCACTACAGATTAATGTAGTTACTCTGGTAAGTATAGTCAGTCCCTGCAGGCTTTTGAATGTAAACACTGCCTTTTCTGAAAAGACAGTGTTTGCATTGCTCCTTAGGGACACCTCCAGTGGCCACTCCTCAGATGGCCAATAGAGGTGCTTCCTGCTGCAGTGTGCAGCACTGATGTTCAGTGTCTCCACATGAGGATATTTTAAATACCGATGGGCCAGGATGGCATTTTGCTCTGCCTCCTTGGCTGAGATTATCAGCACAGTTAGGGAATAAATTGTGAATAAAAGGGGGCCCACCTCGTAAATAGTTTAACACTATCAACAGCAAAAAAAAATGTGAGGAAGGCTTAACTTAATGGACGCAAGTCTCTTTTCAGCTACGTAACTATAGAGTCAGGAATACAAATGTGTATTTCTTACCCTTTAGTGTTAAAATCACCATTTAAAAACTCACTGATATTGTTGTGATACATTTTACTGTTTTGAAACACTAATATGTGTTCAGCGAAGTCTCCCGAGTATAACAGTACCTCCCATGTACATGTTTTATAGTGTTTTTGAAAGTTACAGGATCAAATATAAGGATTGCCCATTTTAGTTTTTTTCATAGCAATTTGCCAGATTGGTTGTTGCCTTTGAGACCATATGGAAGCCCAGCAATAAAAATTACCCCAATGATGGCATACCATTTGCATAAGAAGACAACCCAAGGTATTACAAATGGGGTATGTTCAGTCTTTTTTAGTAGCCACTTAGTCACAAACACCGGCCAAAGTTAGCGTTCGTATGTTTTCTTGCATTTTTCACACACAAATATAAACGCTAACTGTGGCCAGTGTTTGTGACTAAGTGGCTACTAAAACCGACTGGACATACACCATTCTGAATACCCTGAGTTGTCTACTTTTGCAAATGGTATGCCATCATGGGAGTAATTTTCATTCCTGGGTTACGATACAGTCTCAAAGGCAACATAACAAACTTGTCAAATTTCAATGTGTATAATCTGAAAAAGGGAACATGCTATATTTGACCCTGTTACTTTCCAAAACACTATGAATCTGTAAATGGGGTGTAGTGTTGTATTCCTGAGACACCACTGAATACAAATGTTTATTTTATTGCAGTAAAAGATAACCGTATTATGATATTCACTGTTAAAATACCAAGCAGAACTTAAAAAAAAAAATGTAATCTTGATTTCTAACACTTTTTAAAGATTTTGTTAATATTAAATTGTTTCATATATTAATAGTTAATGTAAAATTAAAGCCCTATTTTTTTTCATAAAATCTGTAAGTGTGGGTGCACTTTATATGAAAGAGGTGAATTATAGACATGTAGCGCAAATTCCAGTACTTGTTTATATTTTGTTTATGCTCAGAACGTGTACAATTGCCCCAGACCTTAATGGGTTAACCCCTTCAGGGCGGAGTCAATCGTACACTTTCTGATCAAAACAAAATGTAAACAAAAACTGGAATTTGCGCTATATGTCCAACCATAATTCACCTCTTTCATATTATATGCACACACACTTATTATATATCATTTTGTTCAGGAGAAACAGGGCTTTCATTTCATATCAAATATTTATATATGAAACATAATTTATTATGAATAAAATAAAAAAATGAGAAATTTTTAAAACTTTAAAAAATTGGTAGTTCCGCCTCACGTTTTAGCTGTAGATGTCATAATACTGTTAGCTTTTACTGCAAAAAAAGCACATATTTGGATTCAGCAAAGTCTCACGAGTACAACAGTACCCCCCATTAACAGTTTATTTAAATATAGCACATAACATTTTTCAGGTTTTTTTTACATTGAAATTTGCCAGATTAGTAATGTTACCTTTGAGACTGTGTGGTAGCCCAGGATAGAGATTTACCCCCATAATGGCATACCATTTGCAAAAGTAGACTACCCAAGGTATTGCAAGTGGGGTATGTCCAGTCTTTTGTAGTAGCCACTTAATCACAAACACTGGCCAAAGTTAGCGTTCATATTTGTTTTTGTGTGAAAAAAGCAAAAAAATAATATTTGGCCAGTGTTTGTAACTAAGTGGCTACTAAAAATGACTGGACATACCCTATTTGCAATACCTTGGGTTGTCTACCATGTCATCATGGTGGTAATTCTTATTCCTGGGCTACCATACGGTCTCAAAAGGCAACATAACCAATCTGGCAAATTTCAATGTGAAAAAAATGAAATGCAAGCCTTATATTTGACTCTCTAACTTTCCAAAACACCATAAAACCTGTACATGGGGGGTACTTTTTTTACTCGGGAGACTTTGCTGAACACAAATATTAATGTTTTAAAATGGTAACTTGTATTACAACAATATCGTCAGTAAAAGTGCCGTTCGTGTGTGAAAAATGCAAAAAAGTCACTTTTACTAAAAATATTGTTGTAATAAAAGTTACCATTTTGAAACCCTCAATAACCGACTTAAAATCACCCCTCATCGTCTGCAAAAATGCTCCGCTGTCGTGAGAGGGCAAAGGGGATCTGACCAGCAATCATCAGGGGAACTATCAGCTGCCGGTGACACGGTCAGGTGGGCGGATGGGACTGCGGCCTGCAGTGAGGCTCTGGCGGGAGAAGCGGCCGGTCTCCTGTGCTTAGTCCGGCGAGACCTCTTGCACGCCGACTGAGGGTTATCCCGGACACCACCGGGGACGCAACTACCATTCAGAGCATCTAAACGGTAGTAAGACCGACCGGGGACCGCATGGTTAAAATCAAGATGGCCGCCGCGCTAATACTGAGACGGAGAAGAGAGAAGGAAGCACCAGAGCAACGGCTGGGCTCCGTCTGCCGATCAGAGCAGTTCAGAACACCACACGCCGACAGCAGCCAGAAGACAGGCTTTACAAGGTGTATACTCCACAAGTTGGCCCAGCTCTCCATTATGAGAACACTCACACCACCCGAGACACAACCTCTCACTAACATCGGCGGAGCTATGGGGACTATCAGGACTCTGACCCTTCCTGAATACAGGGGAACAACAAACATGGGGAATAAGCTCTACTCCACTCCTGGCTGACAAGCCCCCTAACACTGAAATAATCCGCTATAATCACAAAGAACCTGAACATCGCAAAGGAAACTTACCGACTTAGCACAGCTGCAGGAATGATTAAACGGCTGCTAACCATATATACCTAAAGTTATAGTAGATTATAATGTACCTCTTAATTTAGCACCCCCACTTTTAATATTAATGCGTGCCTCTTACAGCAGAATCTCCTCCTGCAGCTCTCTACAGAAAGTATTTCAAAGGTTGGAGCCTACATGTATACCCAGCGCTCTACTGTCCCCTGGTGGTAAAATTTTAATAAGCGGATAGAAATTGTTACTATACATAGCCTGCAATCTAAGCACTACATAACCAAGCATGTATAGACTAGCTACAAAAATATCACATTTATGCATATCAGATAATACATGTCAGTTTATAAGCAATGTCCTGTTATATGCATTTTTTGATAACGTTAATTTAGCTTGTTACTGTTTCTAGTACCAAAAAAGAAAGTGCAGCACATGTCATTCACCAACCATGTCTTGTGTACTCAACTCTGCACTTTGAAAAATAAAGAATTAAAAAAAAAAAAAGAATAAAACTCAGTGATGTTGCACATAAGCACCGACCAGCTTTTTGCTTGTTTCAAATATCAAACCTATCCCAACAGAAATGTGCTTATAATTATTTTTTTCTAATTTTTCGCAGCAGCTATGTAAAGTTTTCATGTCCCTCAAAATTTAATATAAAACATAAATTTGATATTGTAATTCTCATTTATTCTTTATTCAGATGAAGTGTTAAATATACAGTAATGTAATATACCTGCCTGAAGAGGTGGTTTTATCTGAGTCCATATAGACATTTAAACAGCAATTGGATAAATACTTGCAAAAACATACCATACAGGGATATAGTTTCTAATTAGTGGAGTAAAGGTTGCTTGATCCAAGGAGACATCTGACTGCTATTTTGGGGTCAAGAAGGATTTTTTTTCCCCTAGTTTGTTGCAAAATTGGAAGCATTTCAGACTGGTTTTTTTAGCCTTCTTTTGGATCAACAGCAAAAACATGTGAGGAAGGCTGAACTTGATGGACACAAGTCTCTTTTCAGCTATGTAACTATAATGTTTATAATTGCAAAGCCTTTTTTTTTTTTTTTTTTCTAATAAGAGCACAAAGTTCAAGAGTGATCAGAATAAAGAGGGAGGGGGGCTGGAGTGTTGTCTTCCATCAAAAGTTCAACAGCATATTGTATCTAAAGAGACCTATGATCTTGACTTCTAAATTCATTTAAATATTTTAACTTTTTATTTGTAATTTTTTTTTTTTTTATTATTTTTTTAAAGGGTCTTCTGGATAAATACTTGATTGCATGTGCCACACCACCGGAAAGCAAGGTTTTCTACTTGAAAATGAAAGGAGATTATTATCGGTACCTTTCAGAAGTCGCATCTGGTGAAAAAAAGCCAGGTTGGTATTTTGAATTTGTGAACTGAATATGGAGTTTAGGGAGAACAAATTATTGAGGCAATATTATACATTTTAAGTGTTACTTCAGCACGGATTAAATTTATTTATATATATATATATATATATATATAATATTATATATTATATTATATTATATTTTTAACATTAAACCGGTCCTATTGGGCTTGACTATTAGGTGAGCTCCACCCCATGTAAAACATAGTAAACAAAATGTCTAGTGGTTTTTTTTTTTTGTTTTTTTTTTTTTAGGTGTGGCTAAGACTGTATAGACAGAAACAATCATTTAACCTCTCAGTGGCAGGGACAAGAGCTATTTGACAAAACTGCTTAATTAAGCTAACTTTGTATTGGAGCTTAGAGTTTCCTATGTATAGAACAGAGAATTGCATCTGCATTGGGTGAAAAGATGAGAGGGAAAAAAAAGAAACCATTATGAATGTAAAGTATGATGTATAGCAAGCGATTGGGGGGGAAGGGGGTTCAAATACTGTTAAAAGACCCTGCCGATCCATGCACCACAAATGAGAAATACAAGCCTTTCTAATTAGTGCATATAATTTCTTTTTAGAAACTGTAGCTTGCTCTCAACAATCTTACCAGGAAGCTTTTGAAATTAGCAAGACCGAGATGCAGCCAACACACCCCATTCGACTTGGATTGGCTCTAAACTTCTCAGTGTTTTACTATGAAATTCTCAATTCCCCTGAGAAAGCATGCAGTCTAGCAAAAGCAGTAAGTCTATTGTATTTTTATTCTGTTCAGCTATAAGCCTACAACATTTGTTTTATACCTTTTTGGGGTGGTGGAGGGAGGAGCTGTATCTCCATGGAAAAGTGTTGTGTGTGTGTGTGTGTTTTTTTGTTTTTTTTGATATGCATAAAATGTGTATTGATAACACACTTGGTATAGATGTTTTCTTTTTCTTAATACTTATTTGTATTGCTATTTGTGCAAGCAGCAGTTTACAGTTTAATGTAATAAATTTCCTATTTTGATTGAAGTGCTAAACCTGCTTTCTTCAATAACATATTTGGAATGTTTCTGTAAATACAGGCATTTGATGAAGCAATAGCTGAGCTGGACACACTGAATGAGGAGTCTTACAAAGACAGCACTCTAATCATGCAGCTACTAAGGGACAATCTTACAGTAAGTAAATACTTTCACATTTCAAAACCGCTAGGCTGAGTTTTACAAATCATAACACTTAACCCCTTAACGCCGTTACGGTGTTCTATGCCATCCACATTATAATGGGATTTAAAGCCGTTGTGGCTCCGCGGTACTTACCTCCGCAGCGATCCTCTTCTGGAGAACTGCCAAGCAGCCCTCCCCTGGCAAATGATGCCCCCGGGGGTCATGTGATTGCCCTCAAAGAGCAATGGCATGGCCACAATAGCTGGCTGTGGATCTGCCTGCAGGGAGACTGTCTGGGTTGTCACAGTCCCCCTGCTGGTGGCTAGTATAAAAAGAAATATTAAACATGTAAAATAAATTAAGTGTGTGTGTATGTTTGTCTTTCAAATATTAGTCTTTTTGCTTTTTTCACACAAAAACAAATATGACCGTCTACTTTGGCTACTAAAAAAGACTGGACATACACCATTTGCAATACCTTGCATTGTCTACTTTTGCAAATGGTATGCCATCATGGGGGTAATTCTCATTCCTGGGCTACCACTCGGTCTCAAATGTAAAATTACTAATCTGGCAAATTTCAATGTGAAAAAAACTGAAAAATGGAATGTGCTATATTTGACCATGTAACTTTCAAAAACACCATAAAACCTATTAATGGGGGGTATTGTTGTACTCGTGAGACTTTGCTGAATACAGAAATGTGCATTTTATTGCAGTAAAAGCTAACCATATTATGACATTTACAGCTAAAATGTCAGGTGGAACTACAAGTTGTTTTTGTTTTGTTTGTTTTTTTTAATCTTAATTTCCCACAGTTTTTTATTTTTTTATTATTTTATTCATAATAAATTGTTTCATATATGAATAGTTCATGAGAAATGAAAGCCCTGTCTCTCCTGAACAAAATGATATATAAGTAGTGTGGTTGCACTTAATATGAAAGAGGTGAATTACGATTGGCCAGACAGAGCAAATTCCAGTTTTTGTTTACATTTTGTTTTGATCAGAACATGTACTATTGACTTCGTCCTGAAGGGGTTAAATGTTTTCTGCCATCTGTTGAATTTTGTAAACAACATTTTCTTGTTTTATAATCCTACTAGGAAAACGCTCCTTTTTATTATTTATTTTAATTTATCAATGGTAGCCAAAAAATTGTAAATCGAAGGATAAAAAGACAAAAAGTGTTATTTCAAAACTACTTGCATAATGTGTACATGGTAATTGGCACCATAACATTAACTAGTACATTTCTCTTTTCTTGCAGTTATGGACCTCAGAAAACCAGGGAGAAGAGGCTGATAATGTAGAGGGAGACAACTAACTGCCATGCTTCAGTTTTTCCCTTTATTTTTTTTTATTTTTTTTTCAATTTTTTTTTTTTTTTTTTAATTTGTGTTTTTATTATTTCAGTCACTCTGTATTGTACACACATGTTTTTGTGCGACAAGTAAAAGAAAAAAATACATTGACTTTCACAACCTCCGTGTAGCAGAACAATGTGGATTAAGGAAAAAATGGCTAATAGTTACTCAAATAGAGTAATACATTCTAAGTATATAATGGCATTAAAAATGTATCTCAGTTTATTATGAGGCGATTTAAATTTGTAATTATGTCCTTGGGTTGTGTTTTTTTTTTTTTTTTTGTTTACTGAACACTGTGATTACGAGCTTTTGTCACTAACATTATAATAGAAATATGTTCTCACAAACAACCTACCTATTTTAAACAGTGCAGTTCTTCTGAATCTGTTTTACAGAATGTTGGCCACCGTACTGTGAAACTTTGGATCAGTTGGATTTGTACCATAATGTTTTGGGCATATTTCTGTAGTAAGGAAACTTTTTGATTGCTACATATATAAATTTCCTAGTTTGTAAAGCTGAATACAATCAAGTCTTGTTTTTGAGTATTGACTCAGTGTCGAGTTTTCAACCTGGTCTAATGCTCACACATGCCACTTTAATTCTTACAAAATCAGGGGCTTGTACAGAATATATACACTGTACAATAATATCTGTAACTTTTTGCCAGTGTAGTTATGTTGTCCATTTATAGACACGTATTCTTTGGGGCATACACACTTTTGCAAAGCCCCTCTGGTATTTATAACGGTTACAAAGAAGTTGTTAAATATATGAGAAATCTGATCTTTTGGGGATATGTTTTCACAGTATTTTAACTGTTTACATTTCATTTTTTAATTCAAATTACACGTTGTTCTGCTTGCCCTTCCTAATCCTATTATTCTGTTGAAACCTATTTGCACAACCCACTTAGGTTGAACGCTTCCAATATATAAATTCTCTACAATGCAATTTTTATGTTCCTCCAACGACTCCTTAATCATTATTGGTGATATTGGAACATTAAGTTATTCAGCAATGTGTTCTAGATAGTACTTTGGCAGTACCTAAAATAACAATTGGTAAATTGTATTTAACAGTGCTGTACTGTATTCTGTTTGTAATCACTGTCCCAATTTAACCACATCATTCCCCTTTTTACCATTCCACGTGGCTGTATCTTTTCTAGGTGTCTGTCCATCTGTCTGCTTCATAGCAAAATTCATGCACTGATTTTCAAATTTCCTAAGTCGAACAAAACCGTGCAGTTAAGACTTGCGCTTGATAAATGCAGTAGTGAATGTGGAACTGAGCCTGTCTGTATATCTGGTAGCTCTATTTTGCTTTGTTTTTAACTGACCAGTATTCTGCCTAAAGTTTGCTTCTGTGTTGGTTTTATTACCTAGCACACACGTGGTTGTGAAAATAGTCTAGCAAAAAAAAAAGCAAAGACAAAAAAAAACCTGGTTATTGATGTACTCAAATTTGTGTATGTATTTTCAACAGTTCTAGTTTCACCTTACACAGAATAATCAGGAACATGTTAAGAATTCAAGAGCAAAATAAATAAACAATGTTATCAGTTCAGTGTTGATTGCATTCTTAATGTGTGCATTCCAAACTATGATGCCTGGCAATAAGTATAATTTATGATTGCCAACTATATGTGTATACTGTATACATTTTCTAATCATAATGGGCATGGTTAAAAGAACACTGTAGTGTTAAGAATATAACCATGAATTCCTACATTTATTTTATAAAGACCCACAAATTCTGCAGCACTGTGCAGTGGGTGGACTAACAGACATGTATTTGTAACCATATGGGTTAGATGCACAGGAACAGATGGGTTTTAGTGTTATCCATACTATATAGGTTAAGGGCTACATAAACAGAATAAGTTTTGCTCATCTTTAGTCCCCTGTGTAACGGCTACCCAGCTATAGTGAGGGTATCAGCCGTTGGGGACATCCTTTTCTTCCCGGCAAGTCACTGTATAGTGATGGAGCTGCTTATTCCCCTCTGCTGGATCCAAGGTAGAAGTCACGTACAGCTCTGAAAAGAGCTTGGTGATTATGCTGCAAAATTCCCCTTTCAAGAACGAGACAAGGCTACGTTTTGAAGGGTCAAGAAGAACTAAAGCTTTAATGACAGACACTCTCTTTTATGTGATTCCGCCCATGCAAGGGAGACACCCACATAATTAACAGTACAGCCAATAAACACTATATAAATTCCATACATCTCCTCCCCTTAGATAACCACATAACATAATTAAAATGAACAGATTTGTCCTCAAAGTTTGGATGTACCCCAAATACTTGGGGTACAGGCATAAATCTGGTGTCCCCAGATAGCTTTGTTCTGGGGGACCAATATACACAAAATTCAGCCCATTCGGTTCAGCCGTTCGGGAGATATGGGGCTTGAAAGTTTTGACCGACCGCACGGGCAAAATAGCCGAAAACAGTTCCATGAATCCTGGCCCTGCAGTCGGTCTTAGTTCGTGCGTAAAAAGCCCTGAACGGCTGGCCATCCGTATATAATTTCACGTTCGCTGGAATCCCCATAAGCTGTTAAGTCGTTCGGTAGTTGTAGCATGATTTCCCGAAGTTATGGAGGTCTCAGCGGTGTTCGGGTATTCGTTTTTAGTTCCAGACACTCGACGGCAAAACACCGCTGTTCGGGAGTTAAAATGGCCGTGAACACATGGAAGTCCCGAAATTGCGGCCACGTATAGCGTTCGTGCGTTTCTTTGTACAAAAATCCCCATAGAGCAAGGAGGCAAATGGGTCATAATTAGGAATCAAGGTGGCTTGTTATTTGGTAGCAAGCATTCGTATGGTGAATGCTTCCAATGTCCCGAACTGAATAGTAATCCATAGTCTCCCTATGCAGGTTAAGCTGTCCTCTTTGTTACACCCTGGTTCGCTGATCTCTCTGCAGCTCCCGTTCTTTCTCTGGCTAATACAATACTAATGATCACAGTCCATCTAAAGCTCATCTGTAGGGAAGCATTTGGGGGCTATAGCACATTTGCTGCAATTGCTGAGCTAATCAGCATCTCATAAAAATGCATTGATATAATGTATCTCTCTATGGAGTGTTCAGCATCTTCATGCAGTATGTGAAAATAAGATTTCAGGAACAGATGAAGCCTCTGTAGTACGGTCTTGGATACAGCCACTGAAGGTGATCATAGGTTGCAATGTAACTACTATTTTTTTTTTTTTTTTTTTCTTTCGAACTAGGATAGTTGCATTGTCAGGGGCAGCATAGAAGGGAAGAGATAATTATTCATGCATTAGAAGTTTGACAAAGACAGAGTAAAAAAAAAAATAAATCCTATGAAGAGATTAGGACCAGCTGGATGGCAAAAACACTGCTCCTAGTACCTCAAAAGTTATTGGAATAAAAACCAACCACTGACCATGCCAGCAGAGTTAAAACAATGTTTCGAGTGGGGGGAAAAGATGGCTTCAATTCTGGCTTTACTGGCAGAGGGATACACGGAGTGTCAGGTTGCTTCCATCTTTTGAAATTTCAATGTCGCCGTATCAGAAGAACAAGGTCAAGCAGTAAACTTTGGGAGACAACAAAGCCTAGATACCAGCATAGGGCAAAAACTGTCCACTGACTGTGATGACCTCCAATAACTAATTTGAATATCATTCAGCAACCATAAGATGACATTAGTTGGCCTACAAAAAGAATGGCAGGTGCGATGAAGTGCAAGGTGAGGACAGTACAAAAGAAGTTCCGATGGGCATTGGGACTATAGAAGACTGCCGTAAGGTCATCTTCTCTGAAGAGTCCAATTTTCAGCTTTACCCAATATTTGTCTATCTAATGGTCAGATAAGAGACCTCTGAGCCACAGTGTCTCGTACCCACTGTGAAATTTGATGGAGATTTAGTGATCGGAGGATACTTCTGCAAAGCTGGAATTGGACAGATTGATCTTTGTGAAAGACTCATTAATAGGGCCATGTACAAGGCTATCTTAAAAAAAAAAAAAAAAAACTTTCTTTCAGCCTTGACAGTGTTCACCAACTCTGAGGATTTTATTTTTCCCAGCAGGATAATGATCAATCAAGGTATGGATACAGAACCACCAGATCAAGACATGGCCAAGCCAGCACAATCTCCATAATCTCATTCAACAGCAATATGAAAGACTAAAGGAGCGTATGCCAAGACATATAAAAGCAGTTATTGAATCTAAGGATAACTCTTGCTAAATTAAAACAGAGTTTAAAAAAATATTAGCAACTTTTTTTCCCCTCCAGATTAGAGAGAGTGCACTACAATGGATATCCACAATCTCTAACCGGAAAAACAGGCAGGCGAACTATATAGGAGGAGCTTAACCTTTTTTTTTTTTATATATCATTCTTTATTTTTATTTTGCAGAGAGCGTACAGTGGTACAAATGGCCAAAACATACTTGTCACATTTTGTGGCATAATACAAAATTGCCTGATAAAAGTGCACATTTTAACATATGAACATGAACATTTGTTAGACATAGAGTAAGTTTAAAACTCTTTGCTTACATTGCAGCATCATAGTAAGCCAACAACATTTATCCTGTTAGCATAAATCAGCATTACACATCACCATTTTGAGTGTTTGTATGGTACATGAGCTGCAAGTACAGTTGAATAAATCTGAACATGTGCCCTGTAGAAGAGGGCCTGAGACGGAAGGAGAAGAGAGGAGAGAAAGAAAGAACAAGAAGGAAGCCCGGGGAGGAGGGGGACGAAGAAGGCCGTGCAAAGGAACGAGAGGAAGGAGACGACTGTCGGGCGACCAGGCTCCTTAGGAGCCCAGTGGGCTACTGTCCCATAGTTCCCACAGTTTTTGAAACGCCTTAATTTGGCTGTTAGGTCATCCATCAAATGTATTTCTTTGATTCTAGCTATCACGCTCACTATGTGGGGTAAGTCTGGTTTTAGCCATGTGTATGCTATAGCCCGTCGTGCAGCTAATTTTATGTATCAATGTTTGTTCCCGTCGGTTCCATCCATCGATGGATCTATTCAGTAGACATACCCATGGGTCTAGGTCCCGCGTCCTGGAGAACACCTGGTACAATAAGTTTTCAACAGTCAATTAAGGATTTTAGGTATGGGGTGAGTCTGTCTGCCTGAATCCTGGCTTAGTATCTTCATGCCATAATTTATCAGCGATATGGGCCTATAACTGACAGGTAACAGGGGGTCTTTGTCTGGTTTAGGTAGCAGTACTATACAGGGAGTGCAGAATTATTAGGCAAATTAGTATTTTGACCACATCATCCTCTTTATGCATGTTGTCTTACTCCAAGCTGTATAGGCTCGAAAGCCTACTACCAATTAAGCATATTAGGTGATGTGCATCTCTGTAATGAGAAGGGGTGTGGTCTAATGACATCAACACCCTATATCAGGTGTGCATAATTATTAGGCAACTTCCTTTCCTTTGGCAAAATGGGTCAAAAGAAGGACTTGACAGGCTCAGAAAAGTCAAAAATAGTGAGATATCTTGCAGAGGGATGCAGCACTCTTAAAATTGCAAAGCTTCTGAAGCGTGATCATCGAACAATCAAGCGTTTCATTCAAAATAGTCAACAGGGTCGCAAGAAGCGTGTGGAAAAACCAAGGCGCAAAATAACTGCCCATGAACTGAGAAAAGTCAAGCGTGCAGCTGCCACGATGCCACTTGCCACCAGTTTGGCCATATTTCAGAGCTGCAACATCACTGGAGTGCCCAAAAGCACAAGGTGTGCAATACTCAGAGACATGGCCAAGGTAAGAAAGGCTGAAAGACGACCACCACTGAACAAGACACACAAGCTGAAACGTCAAGACTGGGCCAAGAAATATCTCAAGACTGATTTTTCTAAGGTTTTATGGACTGATGAAATGAGAGTGAGTCTTGATGGGCCAGATGGATGGGCCCGTGGCTGGATTGGTAAAGGGCAGAGAGCTCCAGTCCGACTCAGACGCCAGCAAGGTGGAGGTGGAGTACTGGTTTGGGCTGGTATCATCAAAGATGAGCTTGTGGGGCCTTTTCGGGTTGAGGATGGAGTCAAGCTCAACTCCCAGTCCTACTGCCAGTTCCTGGAAGACACCTTCTTCAAGCAGTGGTACAGGAAGAAGTCTGCATCCTTCAAGAAAAACATGATTTTCATGCAGGACAATGCTCCATCACACGCGTCCAAGTACTCCACAGCGTGGCTGGCAAGAAAGGGTATAAAAGAAGAAAATCTAATGACATGGCCTCCTTGTTCACCTGATCTGAACCCCATTGAGAACCTGTGGTCCATCATCAAATGTGAGATTTACAAGGAGGGAAAACAGTACACCTCTCTGAACAGTGTCTGGGAGGCTGTGGTTGCTGCTGCACGCAATGTTGATGGTGAACAGATCAAAACACTGACAGAATCCATGGATGGCAGGCTTTTGAGTGTCCTTGCAAAGAAAGGTGGCTATATTGGTCACTGATTTGTTTTTGAATGTCAGAAATGTATATTTGTGAATGTTGAGATGTTATATTGGTTTCACTGGTAATAATAAATAATTGAAATGGGTATATATTTGTT